GCACCGTGAATTGTAGTAATGGGCCATGTGGAACTCCCTTCGAGGGAGAAAATATTGTTGGGCGGGAACAAAGTCCCACATTGGTAGCTGAAATCTCTTAATGGTGTGAAGTTTTTTGGGAACAATTGTACGAGCCTGGCCTAGAGCGAGCAATATAACATCATGTTAAGAGTATTTTGGGCTGGTTGAGGGCAAGAACATGCTTATGGATACTTGTATTAGTAATTTATACAAATAAGAATAACTAAAGAAAAAAATCATAAAATTCTTAATTCTCACGTAACAATTCCTATATTATTGTGTACCAAGTAACAATCAATGATCATGAATTGCTATTTGTTGCATAAATAATCTCTGTATTATAATTTTTACATGCTTTTTTCGTGAATCCAACGACCACCGTTAGTGCAAAGCACAAGTTTGATAAAATTAAAACGAAAAAAAAAAAAACATCTTGAGCCTTCTTAATGAATTGATTGAAAAATAGGTCTGAAAGTAGAAGACCAAAAAAGAATTAAAGTCTAACATATTCCTATGAAGTTTGAAAGAATAAAGAAAAATAATAATATTATTGTTTAAAATATTATAAAGATCAATGTTCCTACAAAGTATTATATCGTTATGTGTTGGTGAAGTTGCCATTCTTTAAGAAAGAAAAGCCAATGAACCTTGGACTCTTCTCAAATACTTTCTCTATAATTGCCCCCTTTATTTATTATTTATTGCAGTTTTACATATTTATCTATTTCTAGATTGAGTCAAAAATTCAAAATTAAGATCTTATTATCTCCAGTCACGGCAAAGATGGAGAATTTTAGTTTTAACATACCAATTTCTTAGTGTACAAACTTATTAAAATCTGTCCTAAGAAATGAAACTCTCTCAAGTCTTGTCAAGTTTTTGCACTTTTTTTTTTTTGATTTCTCACCCGGTATCCGGTACTCACATTGGGGCCCGACTAATCCAGATTTGGACCGGGAAGTCCCACATTGGGGGGTAAAGCGCTCCCTAACAAAGACGACTCCATACCCAGGGGCTCGAACTCGAGACCTCTGGTTAAGGATGAAGGAGTACTTACCACTCCACCACAACCCTTGTTGGTTGGTTTTTGCACTTTCACAATACACCACTTGTTGCTAATAATACAACAACAATAACATCCTAGTATAATCCCACAAGTGGGGTCTGGGGAGGGTAATATGTACGCAGACCTTACCCCTACCCCGTGGGGCAGAAACTCAAGAAAGCAACAAGAGACGATATATTAGTACTATCAATAGAGTCATAATAAAATAACATAATATACACACCATAAAATAACACAAAATAACAGCAGTATAACAATATAGTAAATACGAAAAAGATGGAAGGTATACAAATATCCAACAGATAAAGCCCTGCATCAGTAGCTGATCAGTAGCATCCTAAGACTAACTCCTAACTGGCTAGTCTCACTCTAGAAAAAAAGAATCCAAAAAAGTGGAAAATTGCATGGAAATTGATTGATTTGTTCCTATATGTGGGAAGTCCACGACTCAACTACCACATGTGACAGATACATCAATCTTCCAATTGCTTCTTTAGGATTACAAAAGCAATTTTCTAAGAAATAAAGTAGATTAAGACGTCCCAATTGGAGTAAGGATGATCACATCGTAGGTAAGCTTATACTGTAATTTTCAAATGTATAATATGTATATGTATAGATAGAGACTTAAGTCATGTAATTTATTGAAGATTTTGATATATTTATTTCAAAAATAAAAAAAAGATACCGTGTACAATTGGACCGTAAGAAAAAAGGTTTCCTTACTTACATGTGTTAATAAACCGTGTACAATTTGAAGTTGTCCTTCAAACTTAGGAGTTAGGACCTAATCATTAAATACTAAACTAACATCTCAATTAATTTTATCATATTTTACTTGCTGAAATGCAAAATCAATAATTCAGTTTGGCATAAATTTGGTCATTGATTTCAAACGGCGTACATTTAAAAGAAATGCCAAGTAGCAATATATATAGGTAGGAAGTAGGATTAATTTGAACAAACTTTACAAAAATTGGATGCCTGTGCAGTTGTCCTCCCCTAACCAGTAACCATGTTCCATCATGCCTAGGCATTACCGACCTATGTTCGGCCACTAATAGCCTGTTTGGCCAAAGCTTTTTTTGGACTAGAAACGATTGCTTAATTACAGTATTAATTTTGGAATCTGTATATTTTGTGGTAATTGCGTTGAGTATTGTCCAACAAATTGTTTATCAATGACCGAAGAATATGAACTTTCTACTTATGATCGTCACGAATTGAAATATAATCAAATCGCTTTGGGTCGCTTACCAATGTCAGTAATTGATGATTACACAATTCGAACAATTTTGAATTTACCTCAAATAAAAAATGAATAAACCAGTGTTTTTTTTTCAAAAAATTTATGTGTTTCGCCAAACTTTTAGAAGGAAAAAAAATACTTTTGAAGAGAAGCAGTTTTTGAGAATAAAAAAAAAGTAGCTTCTCTCCAAAAGCTGTTTTCAGAAAAGCACTTTTGAGAAAAATACACTTAGAGCCTGTTTGGCAAGCTTTTAAGAGGCCAAAAGTACTTTTTTGGCCAAAAAAGTACTTTGTGAAAAATTTAAGGTGTTTGGCCAAAATAAAAAAGTACTTCTTAACAGCAGTAAAAGCAGTTTTTCTGCTTCTGGGGACAAATTCTAGCTTCTTCCAAAAAGCAGAAGCAGAAGCAGAAAGTTAATTTATTCAAGACAAAAATAACCTTACAATATTTATATTTTTAAATTATCCGTCATTAATTTAATTTTTCTTTTTTTTTCCTTTTCCATTTTTTTCTGCTATACATTTATTCTCTTCTTTATTTTAATCAAATTTTAATTCTCTTTCTCCTATTCTTAAGAGTAGATTTTAAATTTATATTGAATGATGTATTTTGACATATTTAAATTATCACATAAATAATAAGTAATACCAAACACTCAATACTGTTGCTTTGGAATAACTATATTTTATATTAATTAGAATTTTAATTTATATTTTTACTTTACGTTTTATATTTTAATTGAATTCTTTTCTAATAAATGTTTAAATTTATTTTTCTTTTCTAAATAATACTAACCGCAAATTGAACCTTTACTGTCCTTTTTCGTAATTTGATACTTAAACGTGCTTTTTTAAAAGATTGGCCAAACACGATGAGCTTGCAAAAAGCACTACTCAAATGAATCGGCCAAACACAAACTACTTATTTTGCAAGAGTACTTTTTCATAAAGCACTTTTGAATAAAAGCGCTTTTCAAAATAAGTATTTTTTTGCAGCTTGGCCAAACGGGCTCTTAGAAACAGGTTTTAAAAGTCTGGCCAAACACTAATTATTGCTCAATAGTGTTTTTCAAATTAATTAGTCAAGCACAAACTACTTATCATCAAAAGTACTTTTTTGAAAAGTACTTTTAAGAAAATACTTTTCAAATAAGCTAATTTTAGAAGCTTGGCCAAACAGGTTATAAAGCAGCCTGCAACTATGGCTATCTAGTACCTAAGGGCTAAACTACCAAGGGCACATATTTGCTCAAACATAGCAGCAGAGGTTGAGCCAAAATTTAAAATTTATGGGTTCTGAACTCGCCACTTAACTTAAAGCTCTTTTAGTTACTGGATTTATAATTAAATATTTATATTTTTTTAATAAATTTTCTTAATACAAATTTAGAGTTTATAGACGAAAATGACTTAAATTGAGCACAATTATAGACGAAAGAAAAGACATGTTCTGTTTGTGTAGAAGTTCGCAAGTTCAGTAACAACATCATTTCAATTGGCCCGTAAAAGTATCAAAATCGAATTTGATGCCTTCAAACCAACAATTGTTTGCTAAAAACACAAGATAAGATACATGTGGATAGGGGAGTACATAGATTGGATTGGTTCGGATTATTCAATTACCAAACTAAACTATTGGTGTCGGATTTTTAAATTTATAAACCAAACCAAACCAATAAAGGTTTTCTCGGGTTTTTCGAGGTTTTTTGGGTTTTCGGATTTTTTCTCGGTAAAGTCTTCATAGCACAAAATATGTGATATGTGCTCCAAATATTTATTTTAGTCCTAGTAGGATACAGTTATATATGTACTTTCCAAGAAAATAAAATAGTAATATGAGATGAGTCATATCATTGTACTAAAATATTGCAATAACAAAGATAATAATGTCGCCCAAAGAAAATATTACTAATTAATAGACCATAATAAAAATTAACAATAGGTCATGCTAAAATACGTACAACTAATAAGTATTAGTGATTACACAACTAAGCACTAAAGAAAAAGATAAACTAGGTTATACATTTTCATTATAAACCAATGCAAAACTAAAAAAATAGATATCCAATACTATTGTCATTCCTAGTGTTGAATTGAATTTCCTTTATTAGCATTAATATTTATTTGAACTTTACTTGACTTACTACCTTTATGGTATATAAAATTTGTTGATCATTCGAGAATGTTAAATCCAAACTTTAAATAAAACGTTTAAAGATAAAACTGTGAACAAGTTTAAGAAATATTTATAAATTACATTACAAAAAATATTTATATGTATATAATAATTTTAAAAACCGTATAAATATAATATCGGGTTGATTTGATTTCTGTTTGACTTTTTTTAGTTAAAACCAAACCAAACCAAACCAATTATGATCGAATTTTTTTCCCAACATCAAACAAAACCACAAATCGGATTTTTTTCCTGATTTGACTCGGATTATCGGGTTGGTGCAGTTTATCGATTTTCTTTGTACACCTCTATGGATACTAAATGAGCTTGTAACTTAATTAAACAAGGCTTTAAATGACACATTTGTTCGATGAAACAACAGGTGATAAGACAAAAGCTCATTATATTGAATACATGACTAATACGCGTCTGAAATATGAGTTTAACTAAAATATACTTTAACAGTTTATAAAGCATTACACTATCATATCACATAAAAGAGCCACGTCGAGTAATTTTTCAATAGAAAGAATGAAAGTGTAACCTACAAAACATAATGTAAAAAACTTTTACACCATAAATGTATGTAACGTAAATCTTAGAATTATTGGTGGATATCGGAGGATAAATTCTGTAGGAATAACTTCAACTAGACCAATGACTTGATGGAAAATTCCAAGTTTCGTAATTCACTGACGCAACAGCAGTGCATTAAAGCAAAACTTAACAAACGATTAAAAAATGGACACCATTAAAAAGTTAATAATACCGCCAGTCTAAAGGAAACAACTGCCGTTAATGCAACAACAAGCTTTCTATTGGCAACCGATTCCATTGCTCCCAATACTCGCATATTTTATTTAGTTCAATATCTCGAGGAAATGCTGGATTTGCTGCGTAAGTCCACTGTTCTTCCAAATGCTCCCGTTTGTTCCATTTCCCACTTAGCACTCCAAACAAAGGAACTAAGTCATTGAGATATAAACCACATATGTTGAAGAGTCTAAAATAGGACCCACGATTTGCACCATCCTAAACCAAGGTATTCCGAAAATGACTTGAACATCCATTCCTCACAAATCAATAAGCAGCCGATTCAAATTCCTCCTGGATACTTTATCTCCACGTTCTCTCACTTTCAATGAACCAAGTCCTTAGTTCACAAAGTACTATAAGTAGCATCTGATGGACCTCCAAAGCGGAATGCAGAATAATCAGCACCTACGAAATAGAAAGTACAGTACTTTATGAGACCAAGCCTCCAGATATCATTTTGTTAGAGTCACCATAGGAAAGTTGTAACATCCTATCCACATTCAAAAGCAGAGGGGAAGATGGTTTGAACATGGAAAACCTAAGCGGTATATTTGTTCTTAAGCAATGAGTACAGGCCTGACACATCCATCATACGAACTCGGGTTACTAAATTAGCTACAATATCAATGGTTTCAATTGGATAAAAGAAATGAATATTAGCACTCATTTAATCAAAGCATTATTTCAACCAAAATACAGATGGATGCTATCACTTTCGTCTGGCACCCGTGAGATGGGGTACTATTATATAGCGAAAGGAGGAATTAATGAATTATTATCCCCCATAAGGACACGAAATGATACTTAATCCCCTTATATGTAAAAGGATTAGCAAATCTTTCCCGTTTCTCTTCTCTGCTTTTCTTATTCCTTCAACTTGTCCCTGTTCACTCAAGCCTTGTCCCGACAAGCAGTCATCAGTCTCTTCTTATTATCTCTCTATTCCCCTTTCCATTCACCCAGCAATTATCATCTCCTCCACCATACCTGTTTCCCTCCCTTGTCATGCACCGGTGTGCCTCCTTCAACATTCTTTCCCCCCTCCCCCTATTTACTCTAGCTGTCCTCGCTTTCCTTTCTTCTCTGACTTCCCTCCATGGTAGAAATATCCTTCCCAACTCTTGATCCGGTTTCCCTCTCCTCCCTCCCACTAGATACAGAGGAGCTCCCAGTAACCATGGATACCACCAGGATCTGCTTTGAGTCCTCTTTTTAGTTCATAGTTATGCTTGAATTAACCAACAGTATGCAAGATGGGGTTACATGATCCATGCTATTTGCAAATAATGTTGTGCTAATTGACAAAACTAGCTAGGGAATCAACAAAAGATTTAAACTAGCAGGATAACAAGTTAGACAACACTGGCAAATCTAATGTTGCCTCAACTTTTGAAGTTACATGCCGCATAAACCAAAATCCTGATCAGTGGCCTTGTAGATGAAAAGAACGACGAAATAGTAGAGCATGGACAGAACCAATTATAGCAAGAAAATACCTCAAAAAACTGATTATATACAAAGTGCGCCCAAGTCAGGTGGCCTTGCATCAGATTGTTTTGAACTCATAACATTGGTAGGCGGAACTTTCTTCCCCTGCTTTTTGTCTCTTCGACCTTTGCCATAATCAATTGTTTGGTTGCTGAAAAAAATATACGTTGCATGTGAAAGGGAAGAGAATTGGAAATCCAAGTGCCCAGAACATTATGTCATTTAGGAAACAGAGGAGGCTAAATTAAAAGTTAAATGATGAACATGACTATTTTGTCTTCAAACTCAGCATATTGGGATTTTGTTTATTCAATTCAAAACAAAATGGAAGGAAAGATAGGTACTTCGTGTAGTCTTAGCTTTACCACTACATTATCATACTTGTGCTGTCAAACTTCATAACTTGGAGAGCCCACAAAACCAAATATAGCAGCCTCTATGTATCAACGAACTTAGAGAGCACAAAGTTTTTAAGATTTTCGAATAGAAAGCTCTCTAAGATTCTTTTTTTTACACTTTATTGCAAATACAACATAGTGCAAACATATACATAGTAGAAGCAGATAAGCATATGCAGAACAAGCAGAACTACAATAGCATCGCACAAGTTACAACAAGTAGTTACAATAGCATTAAGCTGTATACAATTTTACCGCAAAAATGAATTATCATACTAAACTTCAACAAGGTTTCAACAAATACACAGGAATAACCAAAAAGACAGGTGATCTTCGACAACCATACACTGCATAGCTAGTGGGACGTTTCCCGGCAACTGATCCACAGCAAGACTTATATTTCTTCTTTGAACCACAGGGACAGGCCTTATTTCTTGGAATTTTCTACAGCATCAAAAGAAGATAGAAGTTTTGATGGTCTCAGTAACTACATCCCAGTGAAGTTTCCAATTAGACATGAATATAAGAACAAAACTAATACTCCCTCCGTTTCAATTTATGTGTCTTAGTTTGACTGGGCACAGAGTTTAACAAAAGTAAGGAAGACTTTTAAATCGTGTGGTCTTAAACTAAAGATGTGCGTAATGTTCCAAGATTCCCTTAAATCTTGTGGTCTTAAATATGCCATGTGGAATATTGGAGTTAAATGGTTACTAACTATAAGTATAAAACAGATTGAAAAGGAAAGTAAGACACATAAATTGAAACGGAGGGAGTATCTATTTTTAGAAAGACAACAAGATTCATGCTGTTTTACCTTTTCATCTTCCTGGGTGGTATTTCTATCAGAAGCTCCTTTTACACTACAGTCAGTGGAACCTTTTTCACAAGGTGGGTCTTCAGATTTAAAATCGCGTTCATCGCAGGATTTATCATGCTCTCCTGGAGACCCTAAAAAGAATGAAAAGTATGAGAAGGTGAGGTGCTGGCAACAAAAGCATAAACATAACTATACCAGTTTTCCCCATCTATGATAGATGCAATAGACAGGTATCTCATGTGTACATTTATCGAATATATCTTGCCTATCAATTAATGGGGACAACAAATCACGTGTTACCACTGTCTCTCGCTCTGTGACAAAATCCTGGTAGCATTAAGTGGATTTCATAACTTTAAGGTGTTTCTTCCCAAACTAGCAAGCCCTAAATATTCCTAGAGTCCCTGGTGAATGGCAAGGGGACGCCTTTAGAGAACCAGAGCTAAGAATACATATTCCAGCTCAGTGATCACCAAAGCGTGAGAAGGATGGGTTCCCCAGTGTGAGAACCATTATTGAAGAGAATTCAGAAAAAGTATCCACCTAACGACAGTGTTATGACAATAATGACAAGTAGATGTAAAACCATGCTTCATCGTCATATCTATAGTCCAAGCTATCAAAAATGTATTGTCACCTAAAAGGAGCTATTGTGATTTGTGCATATGATGGCACATAAAATATTACCGAGTGTATACGAGAAAAAGCTTTCTACCTGAATCCCAAAGCTCTTGGTACCTCAGATGGGAACATCTAGCTTACTTCTCATGCAGGCATTTGCAGACGGATTTCTCAAAGCAGAAGGAAGAGGTTGAAAAGTGATCCAAAGAAATATCCCACAAAAGAACCACCCACCCCCCTCCGCCCGAAAACAAAAGGAAAGGGAAGGAGAGAAAGAGAGGAGAAACTTGCTTTGGCTTTTTCAATAAGGTCAAGAAGGTCGACTAGCAAAGCATGGAGTAAAATGAATGGTTCTCTAACTTCTATATAGTGAAATTCTGACTACATGTTATATAGTACTTAAATCTGCCCCCTTTTGTTTGAACTAGTTACTATTTTAAGAGCCAAACAGGTTCCTCCTTGACCAAAATGTTTTAAATTTGTTTGAATTATTTCTAATCCAGAAATTAGGTTTGATGTTTCTTACATAGCTAAAAAATCTATAGTTTTAAACTAGGTTAGTCAATTTGGATAAGATGACCAGGTGTCAAAGCTCAAAACCAATGGAAGTAGGGAAAAGGGGAAAAGGAAAAATGTGTCACCAAAGATGTTTCATGGTAAATTCTGGGCAACCCACTACCATTTGGACAGAAGTCCGTATTTTTTCAATAATATTCATTAAAACAACAACAACAACAACCCAGTGGAATCCCAACAAGTAGGTTCTGAGGAGGGTAGTGTGTATGCAGACCCTCGGCTCACGAAAGATGAAAAGAAGCAGTAGAAACAAGCAATATCAACGTGCCAAATAATATTCATTAAAATTTGAATTTTTACATATGCAAAGGTTGACACGAGTATATAAGTCGTGTTGAATAACAAGCCCTCCAGTTTCTACCTTTTTGTTGTCAAAAACTCATGTGTGGGGGAGTCTGTGATGATTACAAAACCAGAATTTACCATGACTCCAATTTCAGACAGAGGCAATAGGCAGAATCACTTTAAAAGCAAGACTGGCCATTACCTTGTGAACTGCTTGCCAGACATGAAATGTTATCATTTTCATTTAACTGGTCCTCGGACCCTTGCTCTGCGATTAGATACTCAATTGCAGCATCAACATCACCACCAACTTGTTGTAAAACCTAGAGAAGAACAGATAAAAAAAGAAGTAGATATCAAGTACAGAGACATGTAGGTTTCTTTTAACACTCAAGACAAATTCCACATCATTGTAGACCAAGGAAAGAGATATCGGCAAATGACCTGTTCCACTTTTACTATGTCATCACATCCACTTCCAGCCATAACAACTTTGACTGATCCTAATTGAACAGTATTTCGAGAAGTGTCTCCCTTAGATTTGGCAGCAGCTATAGCTTCACGAGATTTTGCTGAAAGATCAGCATCAGCCTTTTAAATAACTGAAGGTTATTAGAATTCTTGCAAGAAATCCTAATTCGTTGCTATAGAAGGGACATAGCTAATCCTATCATAACAAAAACTAAAAATTGAAGTGCTATAAACCTTGATAATAATTGGACTAGCAGGTCCAATGCAAGAATCTTCCTTCAGACGAACGCTATTGTAATGCTCTCCGTCATGATAAGAACTGACAGTAAATAAGCAAGTCAGGCAGCTAATATGTCTAAAATGGATGAAGGGGCTAAGAAGTAGAGAAAGAAATGCCAAAGTCTGTTCCTTTTTAACCCAAATAAGTGGCACTTGCTTCAGTAGAAACAATAATCTCAGAGGGTTGAAGAGGCACACCACTATAATCATTAGTTCCTTGTGATAATCAATTATTTATTAAGAAAGATAACCTCGACATGATTTGGAACTGTTCTTTGTTAATTAATGAAAATTGACCGAAACAGTCAGTCAATCACGGTACAGCAAAAAGCTAGAGAAAGCAGACTCTCCACAATGGAGAAAGAAAGAGACATGACAGTTTGTGGGGGGGGGGGGGGGGAGCTGCTTATAAAACTTGATTGTCAGCTATTTCACAAGATCATAAAGGATTTAAATTTTGCCTTGGAAGAAGAGAAAACGAAGTGGTATACTGAATATAACCTTAAATCTCACAAACAACCAAAGAGATAGAAAGTTGTGAAGTTTACAACTACTAGAAAAGCAAAGCAAAATCTAACAGATTGAAAAAGGGGAAAAAAATAGTATTTAAAATGAGATTCTTGTGTTTTCTCCAATCCCCTTCCTGTAAGAATGCACAAGAAAAGAAAGGGAGAGAGGGAGATGCCCATGAAGCAGGACCAAGTACTTAGAAAAATTACATCACCTGGCGTGAAATTATTCAGAACACTAGTATCAACTAAAAGAAAATGATCTACATACACCTCCAAGGTTCAGCTTTACAAGGAGGATCAGA